CAACCTCCAACTCTTGGGCTTAAGTGATTCTCTTGCCTCAGTGTCCCACATAGCTGGGACTACAGGCACCTGCCTAATGCTCAGCTATTTTTTTATTGCAGTTGTTTAGTTGGCCCTGGGCCAGGTTCAAACCTGCCACCCTTGGTGTATGTGGCTGGTGCCATAACCACTTTGCTACGGGCATCGAGCCTGTAGAATTTCTTATTCAAAAAAAGCCTTTTGCTCAAATGTAGAAGCTACATGGGTAAAAGAGATCCTAGCTGCTGCAGAGGTGGAATTCCCCAGAGCGATTCCTAAAAGGACTTTGTAGAATATAGTAGTTTATAAACCACTTCTATTAGATTGAAGTTTTCAGTATACATTTGAGACTCTTCATGAGCTGGCAATAAGCTTACCTTGTACACTCTTAAACTCAGTACCGTCCAATAGAACTATCTGCAGTAGTAGAAAGAATTCTATCTGCATCGTTCAGTTTGGTGAATTCTAGACACACGTGGTTATTGAGTACTTGAAATACAACAGAGAGCTGAGTTTCTAATCTTATGTACTGTTCATTAAATAAGCACATGTCTAGTGACTGGTAGTTTGGCCAGTACATCTTTAATCATTCGTTTGGATCACTCAGTCCTGAGCATTGGGACAGTCACCTACTCACTCACTTCTGGGCCTGTCTATATATTGTTCTTTTCAGTTTGGAGTACTCTGTACTTTTCCTTGGGCATTCAAGTTACCCTTCAAGTTCTCTTCTAGTGTGTTCTCTGATTCCCTGTGAGCAGAGAGAATTCTCTACCTACTCTGTTTTCATTGAGCTTGATAGTTTTACTAGGAGTTTAAAGGACTAATTATCTGTTCACAGGTCTGGTTAGATAATTTGAAGAGGAATTCTCTAAGGAAAGGAGACTTACTAGTTTTCTTCCCTCAAGAGTCAAAACACGCAGTGAAACTTTAATAATGAGTGGTGTGCATAACAGTAATTGAACCCAAACTGGAAGGTTATAGACATTTGCATTACAGCATCAAATATATCTACTTAATACTTAACATTATCTTGCCATCTAACACTGGAAAGAAGAATTATGACACGAAAAGATGGACAACTATACTGAGTTTAATATTCATTTTGGTTAGGGGTAAGCCTTAATTTGATATTATTTTTAAGACCATTGAAAATATCTAGTTACCAGTATCAGTCCTTTTTGAGAATGACATGGTCCTGGCAAGTCATACAGAAGATCTGTTTTCTGTTAGAACATTGCCCTGAAAATAGGAGAAATGCTTAGTGTTTGTATCAGCACAGGGGGTCTCTGCAGGTGGAGTGTGTATAGGAGCATCATGTTCTTTGAAACATCGTGTTTTTAAAAAGTAATGCTACAAAAAGACCTGGTGAACTTAGAAATATGGGCAGGAAATACACCAGAATGCAACTTGGAAAAATGGAAGCTAATAAATCTGTCCTACACCTTGACTTCATTAAAAAGGAGCCCTCTTTTTTCATTTAATACCATCTTTTCTGGCCACGTTTTGATACCTGATGCTTTTCAGGGAATTTGGACCTTTTTTAAGAGTGGAGCCTTTCAGAGTTCTTGTTTGTGGCACCATAATAAAATAGGATATATTAATTTACCCTGATGGAAAACTAAAACCTTATCTGGAAACACCCAACTGTAAGGCAAAATGAGCTGCCATTTGGAAGATGTCCTCATCACGGCGTCTGATGGAATCGAGGACTAACATCTTGTCATCTCTCCTTTCTCCCCTTTGCTGACTCACTTTTAACTATTTTGTGGAACAAAGAAGTAAAAGGCAATCCTGTTACTTTGATAACTTGCTCTTGTACTCAGCAATCTCACAGATAATGGAATAAATGAGTGGAAAATCTATTTTCCATGCTGGCTCTTGGCTTCATTTTTTGAAAAATTGATTTCTATTTCAAGCGTCTTGTTCCAAGAAGGGGTGAGATTGCTGGGCCTTCTGCCTCAACTTCACTTGTAACTATTTACTTGGGATTCTATGAAGCATTTAATGGAAACGGTTTTCACAGCTTAAACATAGCATATGCTGGGTTTGATTAACAATCCCACTACTTAGCTTGCCTGTGACTTTGGCAAATTACTTTATTTCTCTGAGCTATTATTTTTTTGGCGCTGTAGTTGAGATATAAATGCCTACTTGAAAGGACTGCTGAGTGAATGAAAGTGACAGAGTAGGTAAAGGATCTTGGAAAGTGCCCGGCACGTACACGCACACATCCATTTCTTCCTCAGTGTACCTAATTACTACTTTTAATGATAACAGTAATTAGTATAATGGTTCGGTGAGTATATATAATGAGGAAATAAAAAAAAAGAAAAACCTCTAAGCCAGGTATCATTAAACTGTTTAAAAGGTTAGATTATAAATACAGTTGAACTTCTGTAAGTTGACCACCCAGGGACTGTAGCAACATCAGAGGTGGTCAACATAAGGAACTAGGCCTACTGTACTGATAATATGTACATGTAGTGCATGTCCAGTCTATGAAAATTAAGTCAACTTAGGAGGTAATCAATGTAGGGAGGTGATCAGCTATTGAAGTTCTACTGTATTTAAGGTTTTGTGGACCTTATGCAAACTCTACTACATATTCTCACATACTGGCTTGGCTTTTATTTTGCAATCCCTTAAAAATGTAAAGCCCATTCTTACCTAGCGCAGGCCATACTGTTGTACTTCTACTAGTCTCATCTTCCAATCCCGGTGTACTCATAATGTCTTTAAGGTACTCTGTATGGGAGTAGTGTCCTGTGCGCTGTAACTCTTACTGCTCCATAAAGCTGCTGTTGTTTTTCCATACTATTTCTAATCTTGTGTGACTGTTTGCTTGCAGCCCCTGGTAGTCTAGAGAGTGTATTTTTAAAACCTATCTCCAGCTATAGATTCTGGTGTGAGGAATAGCAGTTATCTGCCTTCAACTCCCTCTCCTGACAAACCTGCTGGGCCTGGCCAGAGATCTGAAAGAATCTGTATTTGAATATTTAATTGATTCCAAATGTCCTAAGGATCACTGGAGAGAGAACATGTTACTAATCACCCTTCAGGAGCGTGGCCCCCACAGACAGCTTCAGATGTTTCACAAACCTCTGGACGATGGGGACTTGAATTAGTTATAGGTTAACATGGAGGAAGGTAATTTATTCCTAGAGGAAACTTAATTGTAGTGTTCATTTCCATGCAGACAATAAGAAAGAGTTTTTGCTGAGACAGATGTTTAATCGAAGAACAGTAGAAGCAGTTTTAAGCTGTAGTAACAGATTATCCATGCTTTTTGAAAAATATACTAATGCCCATTGCATGTGAATCTTCTGGAATGATTCTCCCCTTTAACACACAAATAGCTCTTCTCCTCTCTCCTATTCTGTTATATACTTAAGAGTAAGTCGTGTTTCATTTATTCACTTAACAAGGATTTATGGAATGCCTATTATGTGCCAGGCATCATGCTAGGTCTTGGGATACAGGAGGGAACAAAGAAAACTCAAATTGTATATGCATGTGTCATCTGCTTGGTATTAATCATATATAGATTATTGGTCTTGTTACAAACCAATGAAATATGAGTATAAAGAGAAAGAATTCCTATAAAAGGTAAATGTAGTGCTTTGCAGCAATTAAATGACTGCAAATCAGTAGAAATTTAGTGTTTAAAGTTTAAAAACAACTGTAAAGTACTAAAAATATATGTCATAAAAAATATTAAAAAGCATCTCCATTTAATGCTTTGCAAGTAACTGTGAAATTTGAGTCCAGTTTAAAGAAGTGGAAATAATAGACTGTAGAATTTGAGATACTCAGATACTGCTGGTTTTGTGTCAGACCACCATAATAAAGTGAATTATCACAATAAAGTGAGTCACAGAAACTTTTTGGCTTTAGTTTCCCAGGGCATAAAAAGGTTGTATTTACACTATACTATAGTATATTAGGTATGCAATAGCATTGTATCTTAAAAAAAAAAAAAAAGGCCTTAATTTATAAATACTTTCTTGCTAAAAAACACTTGCCTTCAGCAGTCATAAGCTTTTTGCTGGTTGAGGGTCTTACCTGAATGTTGTCGGCTGCTGACTAGTGAGGGTGCTGAAGGCTGAGGCATCTGTGACAATTTCTTACAGTAAGAGAACAATGAATTTGGCTACACCAATTGACTTTTCCTTTCACAAAAGATTTCTCTATATGTGTGATGCTGTATGATACCATTTTACCACAGTAAAACTTCTTTCAAAATTGAAGTCACTACTCTCAAAATCTGCTTCTGTATCAACTACTTTTGTGTAATACGCACAAAAGTATCTTTGTTTTCATTTCAACATTCTTGATAGCATCTTCTCCAGGATTACATTCCATCTCAGGAAACCACTATCTTTGCTCATCCATAAGATTGCAACAATTTAGCCACATTCTTAGACTCCACTTCTAATTCTAGTTTTTTCTATTTCCGAGTTGCTTCCTCTATTATGAGTCTAAAACTCCTCAAAATCACCCCTGAGGTCTGGGCTTAACTTTTTCCAAACTCCTATTAATGTTGTTATTTTAACCACCTCCCAGGAATTGCAGTTGTTCTTACTGGCATCTAGAATGGTGAATCCTTTCCAGAAAGCTTTCAATTTACTTTGCTCAGATCCATCAAAGGACATCTATGACAGCTGTAGCCTTATGAAATGTTATTTCTTAAATAATAAAACATGAAAG